TTACCTAATCAATTACCACCAAAGAGAACTATTGATCATGCCATTGAAGTAACACCAGGAGCAGAACCCCCTTCTCGTGCTATTTACAGAATGTCATACCAAGAGACTAACGAACTGAAGAAACAACTTGCCGACTTGCTAAAGAAAGGATATATTCAACCTAGTACATCACCATTTGGAGCACCTGTGTTATTCGTTCATAAGAAAGATGGTACATTGCGTCTTTGTGTTGACTATCGGGCATTAAACAAAATTACTATCAAAAATAGATACCCATTGCCTCGCATTGAAGACTTGATGGATAGACTTGTTGGAGCAAAATATTTCACAAAAATTGATTTGTATTCTGGATATCATCAAATCTGTATTAAAGAAGAAGACATCCATAAAACTGCTTTTTGGACTAGATATGGCCATTATGAATTCCTTGTACTTCCTTTCAGCTTAACTAATGCACCAGCAACATTCATGACTTTGATGAATGATATTTTTTGAGAATTCCTAGATCAATTTGTAATTGTGTATTTGGACGACATCTTAATTTATAGTAAAACAAGGAAAGAGCATTTACAACACTTGCAACAAGTTTTACAAATCCTCCGAAAACATCATTTATATGCCAAGCTTAGTAAATGTGAAATCCTGAAACAAAAAGTTGAATACTTAGGACACTACATTTCATCAGAAGGAATATCTGTTGATTCAAGAAAAATTTCAGCTGTTAAGGAATGGCCTAAACCCACTAATGTCTTAGAGTTAAGATCTTTCTTAGGACTTGCTAGCTATTATCGAAAGTTTGTCAAGGGATTTTCTACCATTTCTGCACCATTGACCTTGTTGTTACATAAAGATCAACCATACAAGTGGGACAATCCGCAACAAGCAGCTTTTAATGAACTTAAAAGATTGTTAACATCTGCACCTGTATTAGCACTTCCGGATCCAACTAAACCTTTTATCGTAACCACAGATGCATCAGATATTGCAATCGGAGCAGTATTAAGCCAGGATCAAGGAAAAGGAGAACAACCGATAGCATATGAATCAAGAAAATTATCATCAGCAGAACAAAATTATCCAGTACACAAAAAGGAGTTATTGGCAATTGTACATGCCATTAAATTATGGCGAATGTATCTGGAGGGACAAAAATTCACTGTAGTAACCAACCATGCATCATTAGAATTTATTAAGACACAAGCAAATTTATCAAGAAGACAAGCTCGATGGTTAGAAGTATTACAATCAAATACTTTTGATGTAAAATATCAGCCAGGAAAAACAAACATAGTAGCTGACACACTTTCTCGTCCACCCCACCTTGCTAACATCACCACCATATCAACTTATTTGACAAAGGAAACTCTGGAAAAAGGATATCAGCAGGATAAGTATTTTGCACCAATCTTTGAAACATTGAAAAATTCAGAAGGAAGTGATGAAAAACAAAAAGCACGAGCAGTACATTATGAATTGAGGGACAATAAATTATATTTGAAACAGGGTCAACAACTTGCTATTCCTAAAAATAAAGAATTGCAAACTAGACTGTTACATGAATATCATGATATTCCTACTGCGGGACATTTAGGAATTGACAAAACATACAAAGCTATTAGAAGAGATTACTTTTGGCCAAAAATGGGAAAAGACGTTCAAAAATATGTCACCAGTTGTGATTCGTGTCAAAGGAATAAAAGTAGTAATCAACAACCAGCAGGACTTTTACAACCACTTCCAACACCAACAAAATGCTGGGAACAAGTCACAATGGACTTTATAGTACAATTACCAACAACACATAGGGGATACGATGCAATCGTAGTAATTGTAGACCGACTATCAAAACGTGCACACTTTTGTCCAACACATACATCAGTGACTGCACTGGAAGTTGCAAAAATCTTCTTTGCCACTATTTTTAAAAATCATGGTCTACCTCAAGTTATTATTTCAGATAGAGATGCAAAGTTCACTAGTCGTTTTTGAAAAACATTATTTGAACAAGTAGGAACTAAATTGGCTTTATCAACTGCATTTCACCCACAAACAGATGGACAAACAGAACAGATGAATAGAACACTAGAAGAAATGTTACGTGCATACTCCTCATACAAACAAGACAATTGGGATGAATATCTACCTGCCGCTGAATTTGCTTACAACAATTCCAAACAACCTTCAACTGGACATACACCATTTGAATTGGATTGTGGTCAACACCCAAACACTCCTAGTTCATTAGCAGCAAAGAAAAACACACAAGTACCAGCAGCAGATGATTTCTTGAATCATTGGGACACTATGATTCAAATCGCAAAAGATACCTTGATGATTGCTCAAGAAAGACAAGTAAAATACTCTAATCAAAGTCGACGTTACGAAGAATACAAAGTAGGAGATAAGGTCTTGTTGTCTACACGACATATAACTACACCAATTGATAAGAATCGACCAACCAAGAAGCTTGCACCAAAATACATGGGACCATACACAATCATTGCTGAAGTTTCTACAACTGCGTATAAATTAGACTTACCAGGAAATTTAAAGATTCATCCTGTTTTCCATGTTTCTTTATTAAAACACTACCAAGAAACACCTGATAATTTCAATCGACCCACACCACCACCAGCAATTATCATTCCTGGAATAGAAGAAGAAGAATATGAAGTAGAAAGTATCCTTGATAAAAAGTTGGTACGAACAAAACCACATTATTTAGTTAAATGGAAAGGTTATCCATTACATGATGCAACTTGGGAACCTGCTGAACATTTGAAGAATGCAGAGAGGAAAATTAAAGAATTTGAATTGATGAGGATGTCAAATCTTAAGGAGGGGAGAATGTAACAATTTACTCCGAAGTCATGTGTAACATCTGGTGGTACATAAATATTTACATTAGAAACGTGACACATTTATTATTATTATTTGTATCAATTATTTCGTGTCTTTAA